TGCCCGTGTACCAGCTGCAGGGCCTTGGGGAAGTTCCTGTATTTTTCTGGGCCTCACTGTTGTCATGTGTAAGCAGTGATGACAATAGTGCCTACAACACAAGACTGTTTTGAGAATGAAATGAGTAAATATACATAAAGGTCTTAGAACAGACCCTGGCAACTAACAAGCATTGCTGAGGTTGGAAATAGCCAGTCTCTGGGCAAAAGCATTCATGGCTTGGATCAAAGGGAAACGATTGTTCTACATTATGTTTTGATTATTTTATTTACTGTTACCTAAAAAATACAACTCTTTCAAAATCTAAAACTTCATGCCCACTTCCACATCCGGTGAAGGCCAGAAAAGGCAATTCCTTCACTTGTTATGAGAAGCTATTAGTGGAGTAAGTAGTACGTAGGTTAGAGTTTTTAGGTATTATCTCAATAGTTACGTGGTTGATAATCGCCTTAGCTTCCCGCAGCTTCTCTTTCAAGCTGTCCACCTAGATTTTAAGTTAATTAGCTAACGTTTGAGACTTGTTTTCCATTAGAGATCTTTAAAGTAGAGCCATAAATCTTGGGCAACCAGAGAAAGATTTCATCTTCCCAAGTTCCTACAAGAGCAGAAGTGGGGATAATTAAAAGTAATAATAAGTGGAAGCCTGCATCACTATGGAGGACTTCCAGCTGCGTGCCCTGAACACCTGGACAGCTCCCTCTGCCCAGTGCCAGCCCCCTCCCACCCCCTCTGCAATCTGGCCACATCCAGCAGGAAGAAGAGAAATCAGACCCCCTGAGAACCCTTGATATGAACATAGGCACGTATTCGTCGGGACTCTATTCCAGTGCATGCTACAATGAACATAGCTGTAATGTTTAATTTACTCAGATCAAAGCTAGCATGGTCATTATACTTCAATAAAAAGATTTTAAAATATACACTCATAATATGTGCCCTTTTCATACATACATTATATTTTTAAATCTGAAAATTTAATACAAATGTGTACCCCACCATTCCTCTGAATTTGAGCTGCATTTTTAGACTAACAACCAGATGTTTCAAAATAGCCTACTGTGAACCGTTTCCTCTCTCTGCATTTATAAATAGCACCCTGACCTCTTTTCCAACTGAATTTGAGGGCTTATTCCTAGTGGTTCTGTAATTGTCAAAGTCTCTTTTTTTTTTCCTTAGGAAAAGAGGATATCTCAGCAAGTGTCTCCCAACTTATTGATTCATTTATTTGTAATTATTCATTCCATAAATATTTAAGGTACACAATATACTCTCTCCAAGATAATAGTGGGAAATATTTGCAGTTCAAGATAACAGCACCCATTTATCTCATTTGAGAACAGTGTGTTAAAGTGCTACAAAAAAAAGTAAAGATGCAATGTCTTCTCTCAAAGAGTTTAAAACAAAAAGGGTAGATTGGACATGACCAAAGGAAAACAGCATGCATATGAACAGTCAGTTCCTTACTACAGCGAAAAGTACCAATGCAGAAGGAGTACCAAAAATTGGAAGACTCTGATGTACCCAAAATAGCACTTAAATAATAAGAAGAAAAATCAAATTATGTGACCTTGACTTTCACATGGTTTACATTTTAAGTATTTTTTTTATTTTAGTACAGAGAGAAGTAGCACCAACATCTTTCATGAGTGCCAGGGGAACTCTCAAAATCTCCAATCAGCTTCCTGAATATAAGTGAAATATGCAGTAATTTGATCCTCGAGGATGGAGTGCTCAATGAAGGAGCGATAGAGAGCTGCAAGATGTGTAGGAGAAATGTAGCGAAAAGGAGACAGAAGCATCTGGGTAGAAGGAATGCCATAAAGGGGGCAAAGAGGGAGAAGATGTCTGCAGGCAATAGCAAGCAGATGGGAGTACCTGGGAGGGACCAAGAGTTCAATAAAAGGTGATGTCAGAAAAGGAAGCTGGACATGGTGATAAAGGGCCTTCAAGGGCGGACTAAAAATTCTGAACTTCATCAAGATACTGCGAACGCATCTTGGCAACCACTTTCAACCATCACCACCCCAGCAAGTCCAAGTCTCCTGGTCATCAGCATGGAGACAATACTTCCCTTTTGCTCTTTCTTGACAATCTCTCCAACTCCAGAGGCTTAAACCATTCTCTTCCTAAAGCTATGTGACATAACAGTCCCTTTGCAACCCATTTTTGTGAAAGCTACGAAGGCAGATGCACTATTTGAGTATTCCTTCCCTGAGTATTCCCTCACCTACCCATGCACCTCTGTCCACAAATGGTATAATAGAGAAACATCATTCTTCCTACTTCTCCTCTAGTAGTTTTATCCCTGAAGCTGCTCAAAACGATTTCTTCCACCCAGATCAGGACTCCTTTGTTTCCTCCATGGCATAAGTAAGGAAGTAAGTTTATGCTGAGTCAAAACTGTAACAAAATTCACAGATCAAATTTCTAACTAGAAAAGATCATGTGAAGAGAGTATCATTAACTGTTAGTGAATTAAGGAAATAAGCAAAATGGTTTACCTATCATTAAATATTTAACCTGGCTAATGCTTAAAAGAAACCTGAAATAATCAACTACAGGGGTCTAGGACTTCACAAAAAAAGATGAGAAGACATCTCCTAGCCTCTAATCTCTCATCACTCACTTCCTGTCAAAGCTATGAAATATTTCCAACATTAATAACAAGTTCTCTCTACCTAATTAATATTTCACAGAGAATTTTTTAAACCCCTCTGTTTAGAGTAATGAAAAGACTGGATCCAAAGAGTCAATAAATAACTTGGGGGGGAGGGGCCTTGTTAAAATAAGGCTTTAACAGCAATGTCCATGTTAGCATTTTCATAGCATCTTTCACCAAACTTTCTCCAAGTTGCAGGGACATGGGGTAGAAAGCAGCAAAAGAAGAAATACCCTCTTTGATATCATGAGGTCTATAACCCAGAATCCTAAGCAGGCTTTTATTTTTTTTTTAATCCTTATTGTTAAAAGTATTATATATGTCCCCTTCTTTCCCCCATTGACCCCTTCTAGTCTATTCCCATGCCCCGCCCCAGGCCTTCACCACCCTATTGTCTGTGTCCATGGGTTATGCATAAATGCATACAACTTCTATGGTTGACCTCTTCCCACCCACCCACCCACCCCCACCATCCCTCTGAGATTGAACAGTCTGTTCCATGTTTTTGCCTCTGGATCTATTTTGTTCATCAGTTTATTTTGTTCATTAGATTCTACATATGAATGAGATCATGTGATACTTGTCTTTCTATGACTGGTTTATTTCGCTTGACATTAATACTCTCCAGGCCCCTCCATGCTGCCTCAAAGGAGAAGAGAGCCTTTTAACCTGCTGCATAGTATTCCATGGTATAAATGTACCACAGCTTTTTTATCCACTCATCTACTGATGGGCACTTGGGCTGTTTCTAGATCTTAGCTATTGTAAATCTGGCTGCTATGAACATAGGAGTGCATACATTCTTTCTGATTGGTGTTTTGGGTTTCTTAGGATATATTTCTACAAGTGGGATCACTGGGTCGAATGGCAGTTCATTTTTAATTTTTTAAAGAAACTCCATACTGTTTTCCATCTAAGCAGGTTGTTAAACCTTCATAGTCTCAGAGTTTACAAGAAAATAGCAATTCATTATAAAATGAATCCTACATTTAACCACAATAACTAAGAATAGTTAAATTGAAAATTATTAATTGAATATCTGTGAGCCTCACACTATTAGGAAGTTTTAGTGATAGATGATTACAAATTTATTTTCAAATGTACCATCAGCCCAGCTGGTGTGGTTCAGTGCTTGAGCACTGACCTATGTAAACCAGGAGGCCACGGTTTGATTCCAGGTTAGGGCACATGCCCAGGTTGTGGACTCAATCCCCAGTAGGGGGCATTCAGGAGGCAGCTGATCAATGATTCTCTCTGATCATTGATGTTTCTCTCTCTCTCTCTCTCTCTCTCTCCCCCTTCCTCTCTGAAATCAACAGAAATATATATATTTTTAAATGTACCACCAGCTTCTCCTTTCATGGACAACACATAAAATTTAACAGGCTTACAGAAGGAAAAAACACAAACACATATAGGCCCTCATACATAAGCTTAAATCCTTTGATTGACCCTCCAGGTATTTTATATAAATCTTTGAGTATGACAACTCAACTCCATATAAAACACTCCTGGTGTTAAGATATATTACGTGTGTGTTTAATATACAGGGGTGGGCAAAAGTAGGCTTACAGTTGTGAGTACGGGAAACACAGAATTCATTTTTGTATTATTATTTATTTATTCTTGTCTTAATTTCCATACAAACAACTGTAAACCTACTTCAGCCCCACCCTGTATGTTTAAAAAGGAGCCAAGGAGATATTTCCACTTTAAAACTCTAGCCTAGTTCCATGACCCATTTTACTTTTTCTTTCTTTTTAAAACATGGTTAAACAGTGGAATGTCCTGAGAATTTCCCCTCAATATTTCTCTTGTAAGTGCATGAAAGTCATCACTAGAAGTTTAAGGGTATTTATCTTTTTTTCCTAAAAAAGTTAGCTTCCTTTAAAAAAAAAAAAAGCCATAAGTTTATCTTCCAATTACTTGTGGGCAACGTTCCACAAATTCTCTGGGGTGTAGAGTGCTTAAGTGCGGGAAAAATCAATACTGAGCTTGTAAGTACAATACTATTATTGGTCATCACAATGACATCCGATTAAAAGTAATTTTAAAAATAGTTCCTGTTTCAGGACACTTTTTTTTAAAACCAAAAGGAGCCTACTTCAAGGGCAAACGTGCAGAAAATAAAATGTCAAAGTTGCTATCACCGTACAAACTTGCAAGAGCCTAACACACGATTCCACACACACCAGCTTCCATTTTCCTCTAATTTACCCAAGGTTATAGTTCACAATCTAACTTCACGACGCTTTCCCCCACAGCCAAACAGCAAAGTAACTCCAGATCGCTGCCAGGAGGAGAGCGCAAGCATTTAAGAAACAAACCAGGATGAACTTACTTTTCGAAATGAGATGGACACCCATCCCCCCAAGAGACCTGCCTCCCACAGTAGAGGCGCGAGATCAATCTGGTCCACTCACTGCCCACAGGTCGCCGCGCAAGGTGTGCGGCGGCGGCAGGTGAAGTCAGATGACAGTCATGAGCGTGTATTTACAGGCCTGTCGTCCCCCGCGCCCCAGGAGCAGGATGCGGGGGAGCTGGAAGATCAGAGCAAACTCATCATCTCCACCGAGGAAATCACTTGGTGCCTGAAACTCGCTCCAAAGGCGGCCTCCTCTCCGTGTATGTCCCCTCCGGAGGCGGGGGAATGAAGG